AAACCCTGTGTCGTGCAGTAATCAATTTTAATCAATTTAATGGCAGCTTTTTCATTTTTAGAACTTGAATGATAAAATAAAGCAACTGGGCTGTTATAAGCTGCCTGATCCGTTGGCCAGGCTGAATGGATTTGATTCCTGACTGGGTCCACCTCTCTGTCTTCCTCAGTTTCCTCATCTGCAGAGTGCAGGTGGGAACCTCAGAAGATGTTAGAATGAAGTGCCAGAATTTTTTTGTAATCCCTCGATATGTGCTACCCTGTACATTGTCAGTATCTCAACTGAGTGCTCGACTTGGTCCTAGAAGAACTTTGACGGGGGTGAACCATTGCAGATCTTTTTAGAAGCAGACAACCCCCTGGAGGAGTGGTTTTCAAGCTTGAAACACCCCTTCCCCCTACCACAACCTTGCAGTTAGCAGCCCAACCTGGCATCCACAGCCCCACCAGGGCTCCTAACAGTTACAAAGATCTGGACAAGGTATTTCACATATCTTTGTGATATATACGCGTATGTTGTAAAAAGGAGCTCTGGTACCATTGCGCTAACTTCAGGGTCGGTGGTTCAAACTCACCAGCTGTTCCTAAGGAGAAAGATGAGACTGGCTGTCAAGATTTACAGACTAGGAAACTATATAAAGTTGGAATCAGCTTTGGTGCGGTTGGGTTTATGTTGTAAAAAATATATATATTTTTAAAGATCATTTTATCGGGGGCTCTTACAACTCTTATTACAATCCATACATCAGTTGTATCAGGCATATTTGTACATAGGTTGCCATCGTTTTTTCTAGACGTTTACTTTCTATTGAGCCCTGGTATCAGCTCTTCTTTTTTTTTCTCCCCTCCTTCCCCCTGTTGTAAAATATCTTGATGCAAAAACAAAAGCTGCATTTATGCATGAGGATGATTGAAAACAAACGGACCGAAACCTAGTTGCTGTCAAGTGAATTCTGATTCATGGTAACTCCTGTGCTTCAGAATAGAACTGAGCTCCACAGGGTTTTCCGTCGCGCCTTTTTGGGAAGTAGATTGCCAGCGCTTTCTTCAGAGATACTTCTGAGCAGACAGATTCAACCCCCCAACCTTTCAGTTAGCAGCCAAGAGGAATCATCATTTGCACCACCCAGGCGTTCCAACGTAATAATGATAGGGAGCAGGGAAAAACACACCGGTGACTTTATTCTTAGATTTATATAGCTTTTCCTCTTCTCTGACTACACGTCAGCTGCACGTCAAGGTGGTGATGATTAGAAATCAAGTAAGCGCTTTTATTTCAGTGGATTATGTGTCTGCAAGATACTTCACCTGCAAGCTCAAAAACTTGCTGTGATCGATTCCCTGTTATCCAGTGTGACACCCAGTTGGCCGCCTGGGGCTGTTAAGGGCCCTCCCAGGCTGACCCTTGTCTGGAGTTCGGGCTAGTGTCCTGGGATGCTCACACCAGTGTGGGCTGTGGCTGAACAGGCCCTGTGTGTATATGTTAACCAAGGAACGTTGTGGCCCTGCTTTTGTATTGCTTGGGCCAATCCTTCCAGAATCCTGACTAGCAGTGGCATTGTCCTCATTTAAGGAGCCCTGGTGGCAAAGTGGGTAGTGTGGGTAGTGCAAGGCCAACAGTTCAACTCTACCGGCTACTCTGCAGGAGAAAGATGAAACTACTACAGCAACGATGGACAGTCCTGGGGACCCTGAGAAGTAGTTCTACTCTTTTCTGTGGGGCTGGTATGAGGTGGAATGGACTTGGGGGCAGTGGATTTGGATTGGGGTTGAGCTTGGTTTTGTCGTCATTTCTTCCTTTTCTCATATGTCCTAGAGTTTTCTCTTAGGGTCCTAGGTATTGGGGATTTATTTTCCTTCCCTTGTTTTGTGTGCGAAGGAGCGCTGGGGGTGTAGTGGTTCCTTCAAAACCACAAGTTGCCCCATGGGAGAAAGATGGGGCTTTCTAGTCCCCTAAAGAGTTACAGTCTCCGAAACTCACAGGGCAGTTCTACCCTGTCCTATAGGGTGGCTATGAGCTGGCACTGACCCGATGGCGGAGAGTTTAATTTTGGTTTTATTTGTGTGCTGACTTGTTCAGACTGGGTATTTTTTTTATGAGGGAATGGGCTTCTGAGACTTGGCGACCTCATCGTCCACTATGCCCTGTATAGTCAGCCTTCAGTAGCCAGCCTGCAAAGTCTTAGCAGAGGAAAGGCACTTGCCTTAGTGTCCTGCACGTCTCCCTGTTTCTGAGGCTGGCTTGTTCTGAAAATGTGCTTCACAGGTGAAATGCCTGAAGGCTTGGTTTCCTGTTGTTTGGTAATCACATTAACAAACTCAACCCCAGCAGGAAGAAGAGAACCTAGAATTCATTCTCGCTCTGTTCAGACATTGCATTGCTGCAAAGACGCACTCCTGCTGTGCCCTGGTGAACAGGCTTGGACACAGGCGCCAGTGCAGCTGCCACCCGATGCAGAATGGTGTCGAGCAGGGGCTGGCCAGGTGAGACCTGCTGCCAGCCGGGCCTTGTTTGTTCTTTTAGCAAACACCTTCCATGGGCCTGGCCCAGTTCGACCTTGGGCTGCCTGGTGACTCCAATTGTCCCTGACTTTAACAACTGCATGTCTGCCCCCCCCACCCCCCCCACTGCCCCCTGTGAGTGTCAATAACGGAAATGGGTCGAAAGTGAAACAGGAAATGGTACTATGAGCATCTACGTTTTCTTTGATCATATCAGGTGCCGTGTTAGGTCTTGTTTTAGTCAGTGACTCCTGACTGATTCTTTGGACATCTTTTTGTCATAAGAGATTTTAATTTTGATGTAATCTACCGTCAGCATAAAACCGAGTCGAGTGCTACTTGCATTGTTCAGGGTCACGCCAGCACATCAAACACTGTCAGTCAAGGATCGTGGCTACATTTCAGAGATGAGGAAGCTGGCTCAGGTGAACAGGCCAAGGGGCAGTGGCCGGATTGGAGCCTAGAAATATCCAGCGCCAGAGTGCATGCAGGCTTTGAGCAACTGTGTTACTGTCTGAGATTTAGCAGTCTGAGTAGGAGAGAAGTTTTGTGGTGACAGGAGTTTTCAGATCAGAGGGAAATAATTTTATATTCTCTTTTAATGGAGAGCATAGGTTCTGAACTTATTTGGCCAACTACCCCTTTTTCAGAAGAAAAGTGAAAATTAGCACTCCCCTTAGCAATTACAAACTTTCTCCTGTAGCTCACAAGCCAGGGTAAAGTATAGGTATCTGCCTTTGCAGCCCCGGGACCATCCCAGTGCCCCTCCGCGGGGTAGTATTGCCCAGTTTGGGGAGCACTGATTTAAAGGGAGTTGCTTGTTAATGACGTTGCCAAATGTAGGTATATCCGTTTGTATGAGGTGAGAGTGCTTCCAAGAGTGCTTTCATTTTTTCATGAACGTTTGACTCCCCTTTTATAAGGGCCGCTACACCAGTGTTAACCATCATGGTTAATGCTACGGCCCCTTGGGGGGTGTTGAACCAATCCGGGGAGGTGCAAAAGCTGGTAGACACCTACACTGTATCCTGGATTATGGGCTGTAGTACAGCATTCTTTCATTGCCAGGGGAAACTTGAGTCATTGTTTTCTGAAAAGAGGGTAGTAGGCCCAATGCTCTTGGAAACCCATGCCCGGATTGAACTTGGCTCTACAGGTGGCTATTGGGCTTCTGCTTTGTGGCGGCCAAATACTTTCTTTGATATATGCAAAAAGAAAAAAACCCGCCCCGAAACAAACCCCAAACCAAATCAAACCTAACTTGCTGCCACGGAGTTGATGCTGACTCAGAGCGACCCTGCAGAACAGGATAGAACCCCTCTGTGAGTTTCTGAGCCTAACTGTAGACAGCCCTCCTTTTCTCTCTCTTTGGAGCTACTGCTGGCTTCAAACTGCTGACCTTAAGCAGTCGGAGAGACAAACAAACCCCCAAGTCCCTGTTCTTGGGGCCTTTGCAATCTAATGGAGCCCTATAGATAATGAAGTAGGAGTATAATACTTGATGGTATCTAATCTGAAGTGCAGTGCAGGAATGTGATTATGGTGGGAGTTAGGGAATTAGAGTCACAGTGGGACTCCTTGAGAAAGTCCTTGAAAGACCAGAGTCAGAACAACTAGGGTAAGGGCCGAGGCACTGCCTGGAGGGGCTGAAGGGTGGCAGAATGACATGACTTGGTCTCAGGTCTTTGAGAGCTTGGTGTTATTGGTGAGATAGGGATGGTAATACATGAGATAATGATCTAGTGCTGAAATGCAGGAATTGAAAGATAAGGAGCTGTGTGTATTGGAGCCGCACAATGCAGGCAATTCAGTGCTTTAACCTGCCATTGTTAGGTCACTTGCTAGAGTGTGGTTGTACAGAGGGTGGGGTTGAGTGTCAAGGCTGATGTTGGGCTGTGTTCAACCCTCTGTGTTTAGGAGCTTGGAGTGTATCTGACTAAAAGTTAGGGAGCCATTGTAGTGGATTAATTAGCACAGTGGCTTTGATTGCTCGGTCCATACCATGTTTGAGGTGAATGATTACTGGTGGGGAAGGTTGCTTTCACATTATGGGCAGGGTAATTGAATGGAGGAGAATGTAAAACCCCAGAGGTCTGCCCCTTTAAGCAGGAGGGCTGCTCAGCTGGGCTGAGGGATGGGGAAGAAAGGACTCTATCAGATTCATGGGTAGGTCTTCAGGAGTCCTGGTGGTGTAGTGGTTCTGTGTTGGGCTATGATCCAAAAAGTCAGCAGTTCAAAACCCCCAACCTCTTTGAGGGAGAGAGACTGGGGGACTTTGTAGTCACATAAACAGTTGCAGGCCCTTATTCACAGGGAGTCAACTCCATGGTTGTCAGTTTGATTTTCGGGGAACTGAATCTCTGTTTGAGATGACTGGAGCAGGGCTGGTCAAGGTGGCCTTGCGGTTTGTTCAAGAGTCAGGGAGACTGTCTGACAAGTTACAACAGAAGCCAGTAGTTGGCAGTGATGCCCCCCATCCCCCAGGTTGATAATGGTTGCATGGCCGTCTTTGATTCTGGGCATCTGCAGGTGAGGCAATATGTATATATATCCTGGCGGCATTTGGAAATAGAATTGGAATGATGGTAAGTCATTCACCTTCCAAGTATTGTAGAGCTCCTACTGTGGGCTGGCCATTGGGCTTGGTGCTGTGCTGAACAAAACTATACATAGAAATAGAAGTATATATACTGTATCAAGGATATCAATAACTATTTCCACCTGTCAAGTATAGGAGCCCTGGTGTAGTGGTTACTCATTGGGCTGCTCATCAAAAGATCCGCAGTTCGAAACCACTGGTCGCGCCTTAGGAGAAAGATGGGGCCCTCTTTACTCTCGGAAACCCACAGGGGCTGTCCTGTCCTGTAAGGCCACTATGAGTTGGTATCGATTGGCTGTAATGAGTTTGGAATTTTGTTTGATACCACGTATGTGCAAATGTGATCGAATGAGAAGAGAGCTTAAGGGTTTGGGCCTTAAGGTTTTAACTTCGGTTATTGACTTTCCAAGAGAATTGGTGTGGAGGCTGGACCCAGGAGGCCTGTGGCAGCTACAGGTGGGAGGAAGTACAGGCAGGCAATAATATGAAGTTGAGGAGGAGCCGAAGAAACGGCTTCTGAAGCGAACGGCGGTGAGCTTCAGGAAGACTCATGCCGTCCAACTTGAGCACACGTCTGTCAGGCACATCACAGCCGTGGTCCTTCATCACCTTGCTCTTAGGCTTCTGTTCCAAGCACTTCTTCTTTCTACCTCACGTTGTATTGCATAAGCTCAGATTTCAGCATGGTGAGTCTGGGAGAAGAATTTGGAAGAGTTTTTGAGTGATATTTAAGCCATTTATAAAATTGTCTGTCCTTTTATGTTGATGTCAACATAGCAGGTATTCAATTCGCGGATTCTGATGCCCAATAGAGCACCACTTTTGTGTTTGAAAATTTCATGATTACACGGCAGGCTCTTGAAGAGGAGTGATGTTAAACTAATTTTGAGGTTTTGTAAGATCTTGTTGTTAAGCACCTGGGATTACTTACAGTGACTCCCAAAGGGGTTGCTTGGTGATTTTTTTTTTTTTAACTAGTGTCATTTTTTTACTCAGTCGTTTTTTACTGAATGCCTGCTCTGGACCAGGCACTGGTATATATATGTTCCTGACAAGCCCTTCACCCCTGGGTGCGATGTGAAGAACTATTTCTTTTGGAGATCTTTTGTTCCTTTGAGACAACTGTTAAAGCTTGTTCTTTTTCAACAGAGTGATTCTGAAGAGGATGTGGGGGAGCATTCTCAAGAGCAGAGGTAAGGAAAAAAATGGGCACGGAAGCCTGCATATTAAACTTTCCTGTCTTGATATCTATCTGTATGTTTGTTTTTTAAAATTTACTATTATTATCTACATTATACCCTTCTTTATGGCTTTGTGGTCAGTACTCTAATGATGAACATTTCTTGATTTGACTGCATGGTTATATAGGAAACTGTTAGAAACAACCCCTTCCCCGATGCCTTTCCTTATATTCATGAACATCCACTGTGCGTCTGACACCCTGCTGGGTTCAGGACGTGCAATAGTGAACAAGACTAGTCGTGTGTAGTGGGGTGCGTGTGGGGGTGAGGGGATGTCATTACTGTAACCAAAGGCATTGTGCTTATGATAAGAACTGTCCAGAATTAGATTCCTGTGGCAGAGGAAAAGGGAGCCCTGGTGGCTCCGTGGGTTAAGCATTGGTCATTGGCTTGAACCCATAGCCACTCTGTAGGAGAATCAGGTGACGATTTCCATAAAGGCTTACAGCCTCAGAAATCCCATGAAGCAGTTCTACTCGGCCCTATAGGATTGCTATGAGTCAGAATAGATTCGACTGCAGGAGGTTTTTGGTCAAAAATACTGATGTAGATAGGTGTGGTCAGATGAGGTCTCTCTTACCCACCCCACCGCCACTGAGCCAATTCTGACTAGTCTTGACCCCATGTATGGCTTTGTGAATCTTTCCAGGAACAGACATCTTTCTCCCTTAGCGTGGCCGGCAGGGTTTGAACCACTGACTGTGGAGTTCGCAGTTCACTGCATACCCAGCAGGACCATAGGGGCTCCTTGAGGATTTTCTTAAGTTATGGTAACATTCCTGCTGAATTCTAGAAGATGATATGTAGGAGCAACTAGATAGCAAGCAGGGAAAGAGTATGCTGGGCATCGGGAATAGCAGGTGCAAAGGCCCTGTGGCAGGAATTGCTGGCAGCAGTCCAGAAACTTGAGGTAGACCAGTGTGGTGTGTAGGGTATTGAGATAGGGTGGGCAAAGGGCCATGGAGGCCATGGTAAGGAGGAAGCTTTTCTTTATCAGTATGGTGAGTTGCTAGAGGGTTTTATGCAGGGGACAAAGTCAATTGTATTTTTAAGAGAATGCCTTGACCATAGGGCAGTTTTGGGTTAGTTGCTGTCAGACTAGGAGATGTGATCTCTTGTTAGGCACCTAGAGACTCTTAGTGGTAGATAACTGTTAAGGAATTGGCATCCTACCCCCGAGGTTCCAGGCTGTGTTTGCGTTCGCAAGTGAACAGTCTCAACTTCTCCTTTCACAACCTCACTTCTCCACCTTTCACCTACCTCCGTCGGCATTTTGGACAAAGGAACAGTTTGAAATATTGGGGTTAGTAGAAAGTGACCTAACGCTGGTGGGCTAGCACAGCGGTTCTCAGCCTGTGGGTTGTGACCCCTTTGGGGTTGAATGACCCTTTCACAGGGTCGCCCGATTCATCACAGTAGCAAAATGACAGTGATGAAGTAGCTTTGAGAATAATGTTAGGGTTGGCGGGGGCACCCCACATGAGGACCTGTTGTGCGTTAGGAAGGTGGAGAACCACTGGCTAACCGATTTTCAGATCTCTCATTCCATTGGATTGAAGGAGGACTTAATTGATTTGGCAGCTGATAGACCATGAAAAAATAAAACTCCTTGCATTCACACCTGTTTCTGTGAACAAGCTTTCTCGTTGCTTCCATTAGAAAATAAAGCTGAAAAAGGGAAATGAACCCAATAAGTAACGATTATTCACCGATGCAGGAACCGATTGGTGAAGGGGCTGGGGGGAGACAGCTCTGTCCATCTCATTACAGCATGCATTTTTCAGTAAAATATTACTCATGTTTAATTACCTATCAACATGTGTTAAATTTGTTGACCTAATCATTGTATAGTAATACAAATTGTAACAATAACTCAATTCTGTAGAACAATAACATAGACCCTGTGTCATATGAGCAACCATATAGCAAGCATACACCAAAGAACTCTGAAATTTTAAGTCATATCGGTAGCTTCAACGGTCTTTGAACATAAAGATCCCTTGGGAACAGGAAATTGAAATAAGAATTCAAGAAGAAAAAAGGATCAGTGTAAAATATCCAGCTATGCGTATTCGTGTGTGTGTTTTAAATGGGTGATGGTCAATTCATTGAATGTATTTTTTTTTTTCATTGAATGTATTTTAGGAAGTGATTTTGGGTTTGGTTAAAAGAAGTCAGTAAGTACATGCTCTGTGCCAGAAATTGCATTATTTCTAACGATTTAGGGTCACAGTATACAATTTTAAGTGTGGAACAACTTATGTGAAACAGGTTTCAAAGTTTGTTGAAATTCTTTTTGGGTAAATGGGACCCAAAACAAAGCAAGGCAGCAGGCTGATGGTGATGCTGGCTCTTGTGGTGGCGTGACCCCGGGAGGGCATGGGAAATGTTGAGGTGTGTTTTGGGGGTGGAGCAGAGGGAGGGAACCAGGGAGGACCGCTAGAGCTAGGCTGCTGTCTCTGGGGAGATGATGATGTCCTTGATAGCTCAGGATTTAGTGGGAGGGAAAGAAGATTCTGTTCCTTCCCTCGGAAGTCTCAGACTTGCTTTCGCACGTCCCAGTAGAAATGGCCCGTAGGCAGTGGAGGGTGTGAGTGATACGGGAAGACCAGGGCTGGAGATCCAGGGCCGGGTGCTTAGCCTCTAGGTCGCCTTATTGCCGGGGCATCATTTTTTGCCTCCCGTTGTGTAGATGCATTTCTCACATTAAGTAGGGCTGGCGTCTTTTTTCTCCCCTCTCCCTCAGCCCTCCTCCAAGTTTCTGCCCATGTAGAGGTATTAGAAGATCTTTTCATGAGCCCTGATGCTGCAGCGGTGAGATCACTAGCCAGAGACCGTGGTTAAACCCATCAGCCGCTCCACTGGAGGTGGATGAGGCTTCCTGCTTCCCTGAAGCCCACAGCCTTGGAAGCCCGGCGGCTTCCACTCTTGTCCTGTAGGGATGCTTTGAGTTGGAATTGACTCCACGAAACGGATTGGGTTGGGTTGGGACCGGACCAGATTTTATCCTTACTGATCCTTCTTACGCAGTTGCAGCTCATCAGCATGAAAGGTGGGGCAATGGGGATGGCCTCAATGGTTGGGGACAGTGGCTTTCAAACTTTTTGATGACAGTTCAGTTTTCTATGACAGCTGCGGATTTGTGCACACGCACACGTCTGGATGTTCGAACATGCACCTTGGGTATTTGTATACTTGCTCATTAAAAAAGTGAAATTTCCCCAAGCAGCGCTGTTCTTACTACTTGAGCTGGACTTGGATTTTCTATTCCATCCTGTTTCCTTAAAAAAAAATGTGAGTTGACGCCAACTGGATGGATTTTAGAATTCCTTAATGGATTCTGGTTCACAGTTTGATCAGCCCCAGTGTGGCGCCTTATTCTCCTGATACCGAACGGTCCTGGGTTTCACTGTGCTTTTACTCCCTCACTGCTCTGCTCTTTCCAACCTGACTTCCAAGTCTCTCTCATTCTCTTGCACTGTTTTGGCTGAGAGCGGTTTTCTTTTACTATACCAAAGTTGCTTCAAAACGTTTATGGAAAAATTCTAGGATCTGTAATTCCACAGACTTTCTGAAGCCCCCTTGTATAAAAATGAGAACATGACATGGGTGGGGTGATGGTCTTAGAAAACCCTCATTCCTGTTTTCTGAAAATTGGGATTCTGGAATTCTCTCGGAGGCTTACCTGTGTAACTGCAATGTTCTGTGATTGGTGACCTGTTGTTGTTCAGTGCTGTGGAGTCGATGCCAACACCGAGCGAGCCTGTGCGCAACAGGACGAAATACTACCTGGTCCTGCACCGGCCCCACGATTGTTCCTATGCTTGAGCCCACTGCTGAAACCATGGGTGCCAGTCCTTCGTACTGAGGCCTTTCCTCGTTTGCTGCCGCTCTACTTTACCTAGCATGATGTCCTTTTCTTGGAACCGATCTCTCCTGACAGCACGCCCTACGTATATTAGATGAAATCTGCCCATCCTTGCCGTTAAGGAGCATTTTGGCTGTACTTCTTCCCAGACAGCTTTGTTTGTTCTTTTGGTAGTCTCTGGTACTTTGGATGTGCTTCACCAGCACCACATTCAAATGCATCGATTCTTCCTTATACCAGCGTTCAACTTTCACATGCATAGGAGGCAATTGAAAAGACATGGCTTTGGTCAGGTGCACCTTAGTCCTCAAAGTAAGGACTGTGCTTTTCGACACCTTACTCACTTAAATACTACTCTTACATATCTTCTGCACAGTTGAGGATTTATCTTTTAAGTTAAATTTCTCAATTCTCCTAAAGCTCAAGAGCTCGTATAAACCTCTCTAACTACGAGAAAAACTCAAGACAAACCCAGAATGAGGGTTTCCACTGCTATGGGTGCATGGATATTCCTTTTATGCTTTGGGTTATATAATGTAGGTTGTAGGACGTTGTTATCTTAATGTCCTCAATTCTTGTTTTCAAAGTTATTCATCTTTACCTACAGTTCCCAAACCCCTTTCTGATTTGAACTCTAAATACTACCTCACAATGCCAGCTCTTAATGAGTGGTGAGGCTGACTGGAAGTCGATAGAGCAGGCACTTAAATGTTGGAGATTAGCTCATTTTCCCTGGAAGAACTCATGGAGGAATCACTACCAATGCTCCAATCGAGACGTGAACTTGACCATAAACAGAATCTCAACATGCTCCTGTTCTAGGAATAAGGTAGGCGGCACCGACTTCCAGCCCTGGGGGGAAATTTAGATGGGGAGGAACACGCTTGTTCACTCCAATACCTGTCCAGTGCAGGGCCAGAACCTGCAGGGCAGGGTTCTAGAGCAGCTTGCCTTTTGCTCTCCAAACACAACTCAAGAAAGATTTTCAGATAATTGGCCCCAGTGACATTTTTTGTGTCTTTTATCTTGACGTCATCTTCTGCAGATGCTGTGTAATTGTATCTGGTTGACGGCCAGAAAAGCA